ACAGAATCAGCCCATGCAAAGACAGTGTTAAATTGAGCGAAATGAGGAATGGCTAAAATGCATGATCTGTTTGGTATTTTGAAAAGTATAAATATGACTTATATAGGTATGTTCCTACACTATATTATTCGAATATAACATGATAGGTCCACTTTAAGTTTAAAGGAAAAATATTAGGTTCAACTTAATATAGTTGCTTCCAACTAACCTAATGTAGGTGACAACCTCTGCACAGATTCAGTCAACAACCGGCTGGAGCTATTCCCGCGAGGACTGGCAAGAGGGACACAGGGGTAGGCTTCAAGCATCCAGTTATAATCCTGAGGGCGTTGTTGATGACCACGTCAACCTTACTTACGTGAAGGCTTCTGCTCCAGGCTGGGGCGCAGTATTCCGCTGCAGAGAAGACCAGGGCTTGGGTCGATATTCACAGCGTCTTAGCGCAGGCTCTCCAGGTTGTTCCAGCGAGGCGGCGGATCAGCGCGACCCTTGATGTTACCTTGGCCTTGACTTCTTCAAGGTGTTGTTTGAATGACAGTGTCCGATCCAGACGCACACCGAGGTACTTCGGGGCTTGCTGGACCTCCAGACGTTTATTGTTGACACGCACCTCAAGTTCCCTCCTAGCTTCTCTGGTGCTAAGATGGTATGCCGCTGCTACTGTCGTATATTTAACATATATATTTATATGTTGTCCTGTCTTGTCTCCAGGACATTTTCCTGTTCATCACCAGACAGCTAAAGGGCCTGGAGGACACTAAGAGCCCTCAGTTCAACAGATACTTCTACCTGCTGGAGGTAAGGAACTTAAGTGGTAGAAACAACAAGGAGCTTCACTTTTATTTTGTTCATTTTGGTTCAGGGGCTGGAATAACAAATGTCTGTTATGCTTTTCTCTAGAACCTGGCGTGGGTGAAGTCGTACAACATATGTTTCGAACTGGAGGACTGCAACGAGATCTTCATCCAGCTTTTCAAATCACTCTTCTCTGTCATCAAGTAAGGCCCTTGTTATCTGTTGCTGTGTCCTACTGTTTACAATCTCTCCATCTTATACATTTACAATGTTTAAACTGCATTCTTTACAATCACTTTTCATGAGACCCTTCTTTAATTCCGGCACAGTCCAGCTAGTAGCCCTTAAGTCTGTCACCTAAGCTCCATTTTTATTTTCCTTTTAACATGTTTTGATTACCTAGAGAACGCATGCTGAAAGGTATACACCTAGTTACCATGACAACCCATTATAACCCTAGGTGTAGAGGGGGTTCAAATGAGTAATCGCTCTTTGTTTTTGATTAAATATTGTTTCAGTTTTCTTACATTTTCAACTCTTCCTCCACAGTAACAGCCATAACCAGAAGGTGCAGATGCACATGATAGACCTGATGAGCTCCATCATCATGGAGGGCGACGGAGTCACACAGGAGCTGCTGGACACCATGCTCATTAACCTCATTCCTGCTCACAAGGTGGGACCAACACATCATTTTGTATTATGCAGTTAGAAATGGAGCTGCAATGATTAGTGGAATAAACCATTGGTCGATCAACGATGAAACGATTGTTAGTTGCAGACTTATTCACAAAGACATAAGTGGTGTCTTTTTGGAGCATGAAGGTTTTTTTAGCCTTTTATAATCCGTTGCTGTCTGCTTAAATTATATTGCTCAAGCTGGTGGTCTGTGTATCAGTGAATGTTTGGGTAAGATGTTCTACGACAATTTAATATACTAATCCATGTTTAACTTTCCTTCAAACAGAATCTGAACAAACAAGCGTACGACCTTGCTAAGACTCTGCTGAAGAGGACAGTTCAGACCATCGAGACATGCATCGCAAACGTGAGGAGGAGCCTTATTTGTTTTCTGTTAGTGAAACTGTGTTTTTGTTTTTATGCTTACGTCCTCAGACAATTTGTACTTAAAATGTTGTCTGTTTCTACAGCTGATATTGTTTTAAGGTGTTTATCTCACAGTACTTTTTCCTTTCTCAGTTCTTCAATCAGGTTTTAGTGATGGGCAAGTCATCAGTCAGCGACCTGTCGGAGCACGTCTTTGACCTCATCCAGGAACTTTTTGCCATCGACCCGATGCTGCTTACCTCTGTCATGCCACAGCTGGAATTCAAACTTAAGGTTAACACGTACACACGTACACACGTGTACACACGTACACACACACACACACACACACACACACACACACACACACACACACACACTAGTACACAGACATGTATGCACCAAAAACACAGACACACATTCCTCGTATGTGTTAACCTACTTTGCAATACACCGGTTTCTGATTTTGATCTAATCTAAACTATTATCATGCAGTTGATGTGGGGCACGTCTGTACAGCACTGAAATGAGAAAGTTAAGACATCCATTATAACTGAACTGACAGCACATATTGAAAAAGCGTTTAAAATGACCTGTAGCAGTCTACCTGGTGACATTAGATTTGTATTTCCTCAGTCCGTCACTGGCCTTTTATAATATGATAGAGCATGGTTCAGTTGATCTCACTATGTGTGACTGATGTTTCTCTCCAGGTTTAATGACATCCACGTTCCAGTCAGGCTAGAGTGTGTAAAGTTTGCCAGCCACTGCCTGATGAACCACCCGGATCTGGCCAAAGACTTGACAGGTGGGTTAGTGTTTTCTGTCTCACGGAGTCTTCTTCACTTTTCCTCTCTCCTCTACTTCTGCTCTTTCTTTCACATCATGCTACGAATGAAAATGTGGTTCCATATCCCTCTCCTTATTATCCAATCAGAGTATTTGAAGGTGCGTTCCCATGACCCGGAGGAGGCCATCCGTCATGATGTCATTGTCACCATCATCAACGCTGGAAAGAAAGACCTCAACTTAATCAATGACCAGCTGCTGGGCTTCGTACGAGAGAGGACATTAGACAAGAGGGTGAGACAAATATGAACAAACATGGTGCACGAGTAAAGATTTCTTTATTGTTGGCATGTAGGAAAGGAATCGCTCTGATGTATGGAAATGTCTTTATAATGACATGTACATATTGTTATAGCATCTATAGTAGTATGGTGATTTGCTCTGTTATTCATTGGTTGAGCGCCTTGGAGGCATCATCAAGTTTGAATTTGCTCATGACTAAGAGTAAACCACAGATCAGGGTCTCCTTTACTCTGGGCTGCTTTTTCATTGATTGAATTTCCTCACCTTCATCTTATTCTGTCCTCCCTGCCCTGTGTTTCCTCCCTCCTCTCCCTCCCACTATAGTGGCGTGTGCGTAAAGAGGGCATGATGGGCCTTGCTCAGCTTTATAAGAAATACTGTCTGCACCATGAGGCCGGGAAAGAGTGTGCCCAGAAGATCAGCTGGATCAAAGACAAACTGCTGCACATCTACTATCAGAACAGCATTGATGACAAGTGAGTTTATACACGGATGGTTTCATGTGGAGAAGGACAACACAGCTGTTTTGGACATTTTACAGCCATGGCAACATTACTTAAGTGGGGGTTGCCATGACCAAAATAAGCCCTTGATACATCTTGTGTTTGTAGAATAATACATTTATTTGAAACCTTGTGAGACTTGTATGAACAGACAATAATAAATAGGACGAATGGACTGGTTAAAACTAGTGATATTACTACAGATCTTTGAGATTACTGCGTTCAAGTTTATAAGTATGTCAAATGTATTCCGGTTGGCATTTTCTCTGATTTCACACAACTCACCGAAGCTCTCCTCCTTCCTGCAGGTTATTAGTAGAGAAGATCTTCGCTCAGTACATGGTTCCTCACAGTCTTGACACAGAGGAGAAGATGAAGTGTCTTTACTACCTGTATGCCTGCCTGGACACGAACGCTGTCAAGTCAGTACACCTCCAACATTTACAATCTTCAACAAAAACACACGTTTAGATTGTACAGATGAGACTAACCTGCATCTTTTTATTGTATCTTGGCTATTAGGGCTGCAGTGATTGCAACCGTTCAAATATATAACCAGAAACTGTTTTGTTAATCAAATAATTGTTAACTTATTATAGCAGAAGATACTGTTTTATGGCAGTGACCTACTTCTCTATTTAATTTACATTTGATAATATCTGTGTTCTGTACTTACAAAACTATGCATGTAAAGACATCTTCTACTTGGATGGACATTTTTTAGTATTTTCTGATAATTTATGGACCACACTAAACATTTAAAACATAATCAAGATGGTTAAGATGCCCTATTGACACAAAACATCTAAACTGCTAGTAAACCTGTATCTTAAACAACAGAAATAGTTCAACATGTGCATATCACAAAGGCAGTTTATTTATAGTCGTGTTCTTTTGACACCTCCCTCTTGTTTCTCACACCTCTGGATGTTTCCTTTGCTCTCAGGGCCCTGAATGAGATGTGGAAGTGTCAAAACATGCTGAGAAGCCTCGTCAAAGAGCTGCTTGACCTCCACAAGCTGCCAGCGGTGTGTTGACATACTTTTACCCTCAAAACATCTTCATATCTTTTGATGAAAAGCAGATCCATGACATTTGTCCCTCTCTTTCCCCCGGTAGACGGAGGCCAATAACTCAGCCCAGATGGGGAAGCTGATGAATATTTCCAGTACGCACAAACATATAGAGGACACTTTCAGTCCACACGCTCAGATTTTCAAAATGGTTGCACTTAACAGGAAAAACATTTTCTTCTCTTTCTGTTCACAGAGAATCTGCCAGACGCTGGAAAGGCCCAGGACTTCATGAAGAAGTTCAACCAGGTTCTGGGAGAGGACGAGAAGCTCAGAGTGCAGCTGGACATGCTCATCAGCCCCACCTGCTCCTGCAAACAGGCCGAGATCTGTGTGGTGAGAGGAACAATCATACACTCATCGTGTAATAAAGCTCACAAACAGAGAATGAGATAACCATAATTGGTATATTATAACACAACAGTAATGTTATAATAATTGTTATTTTCTGAGGTATTTCAAGGGTCTTACAATTCATTTGTGGCATTGTTTCATTGTGTTAGTTACTGAGAAGGGATCATTTCATCTCTATTTAAAACTAGAAGCAGTCATATCTTCATACTGTGGAATTGGGAAATGTCCCACACTGCTGTTTTGATTAATGAAATATTAAACTAATCTTAGCGTACATCCAGGGTTAGAAATAAAGACACTATATATCAAGGTTTGCCTGCATTTATTAATATTAGCCCTGGTGTAAAATGTCCATGATATATCATCACAAATCCATGAATGTTGTTGTTAATGGTGTTTGTTCTTTGTGCAGAGGGAGATAACTCGGAAATTGACGTTCCCCAAACAGCCCACCAACCCCTTCCTGGAGATGGTGAAGTTCCTGCTGGAGCGCATCGCCCCTGTCCACATCGACTCTGAGGCCATCAGGTCAGACAAACTCCTCAAAGCACCAAGAGCGGGGTTTTATTCTCCAAGTTTCACAAAGACCAAAACTATTACAACATGTTCAAATGTTCATTATATTACCAATACAATCAATAAAAGTACATTCTGATTTAAGTAGAAGGCTGGAGAGGCTGTGGCTCAGTGGTTAGTGTGCTGGACTTCGAATCAGGGGGTCACAGGTTCAAACCCCACTGCAGTCAGCTTGTCGTTGTGTCCCTGGGCAAGACACTTCACCCCAAATTGCTCCTGTATGTTAGTCGCTTTGGATAAAAGCGTCTAACAAGTGAAATGTAATGTAAAAGTAGAAAAAGATGAAACCTTTTTAAATCCAGTTTTGAAAGATTCAGCTTTCTTTTTGAGTACACACAAAAAGGGGCACTCTTACAACAGAGCAGCAGTTCTTATCTCAGAGATAGTGAGTTACATGTTCTCCCTGTCATTGTGTAATGCCATCTACAGTCTTTCTCATTCACTGAGACACCTAGTGGTGGTGAGGTGTACCTGCACGCCTTAGCCAGTGAACATGTTTAACCCTTTCTGCTTTATGGAAAAACACAGAGAGGAAACACTCATACTGAATATCTTTATGTGCTTAAGTTAGGCAGTGCAACTATTTCTCCCATGTTAAATATTTGCTTTCATGTCTTTATAAGACACTGAAGTACTTCAGTTTTTCACCTGGAACGCATTTGGATGTTTTTAGGAAAAATGTATTGTAATAAGTTATAATCTGTTTTACTTTAGTGCTCTGGTGAAGCTGCTGAACAAGTCCATTGAGGGTACGGCTGATGACGATGAGGAGGGCGTTACCCCGGATACAGCTATCCGCTCTGGCCTGGAGCTCCTTAAGGTAAACAGCATGGACCAAGCATACAGAGATAAATGATGTCATTTCTAGTAAAAAGGTTGTTGAACATGCAGATTACAGCTAAAGTGTTTTAAAGATGAATTGTGCAACACATCAATGATTGTTGCTTTGTTTCACTTCTTCAAGGTGCTGTCGTTCACCCACCCCACAGCGTTCCACTCTGCAGAAACCTACGAGTCTCTGCTGCAGTGTTTGAAGATGGAGGATGAAAAAGTGGCAGAGGCAGCCATTCAGATATTCAGGAACACAGGGCAGAAGATCGAGACAGAGCTACAACAGATAAGATCGTAAGAACCAACTCTGAAGAGTAAATTACAAGACATTGATGTGTATACTGTTGCTTTTTAAATCTCCAGGCCATTGGTCGAAACTTTTTGAGAGGAATAATCCGTGCGTGGTGAGTTTTCCTAATGCTTATTGTTATGTGTCCGTCAGGACTCTGATCCCTGTCCTGCATCAGAAAGCTAAGCGGGGAACGCCTCATCAGGCCAAGCAGGCCGTGCACTGTATTCACGCCATCTTTAACAACAAGGAAGTGCAGCTGGCACAGATTTTTGAGGTAGGTAACTTACAACTTACGTATTACCCGGATTTGCGTAGTATCAGAAATAACAACAATCTCTTTTTTTTTTTTTTAACTGGCATTGTTCACAATTTTCATGTCCTTTTTTTCACGCTGTGACTCATCTTTTCTTGTCACTTGCACTGTTACTTCCCCCCAGCCTCTGTCACGCAGTCTGAACGCAGACGTCCCAGAGCAGCTCATCACGCCCCTCGTGTCTCTGGGCCACATCTCCATGCTGGCCCCAGATCAGTTTGCATCACCGATGAAGTCAATCGTGGCTAATTTCATTGTCAAGGATTTGCTCATGAATGACAGGGTGCGCGATCTTTTTATATATTTTTGGAAACATGATTAATAAATGACAACTTAAATGAAAATGAACCCAGTTAAGAAAAGAGTCCTAATGTGATGTGTCCTTTATGTCTCCAGTCGGTGGGAAACAAGAATGGGAAGCTGTGGACGACTGACGAGGAAGTTTCACCTGAAGTCCTAGCTAAGGTAAGACATCGGTGGCATCCATTTCACTACCAGTCAAATTTAGATTTTGGATTTTCACTCAATGCATAGATATAACATAGATTGTGTTCTAGAGATGCACCAATTGCAGCCTGCTTTTTCAGATGTTTCACAGTTTCCTTTCTATGAAATACAATTGACAGCATTTACCAACATTTTTGGAAACTTTTCTTTCATGAACAATTGAATGTTGACAGTATAAAACATGTTTTTTGTTTTTAAAAAGTGCAAACTTAAGAAAATTCATCATGTCACTGGTCACGGCCAATTAGCTAACAACCAATAATTAAGATCAGTGTTTATTCAGATTGTATTCAAATGTTTTGTTGTCGAAACATGTACGTTTTAAGATTTAGTTTAGATTCAGTAACCTCACTTTGCAAAGGATTCACACTGTTCCTGTTTCCCCAGGTCCAGGCCATCAAGCTGCTAGTGCGTTGGTTACTAGGGATGAAAAACAACCAATCCAAGTCGGCGAACTCCACCCTGCGCCTGCTGTCAGCCATGCTGGTCAGCGAGGGAGACCTCACGGAGCAGAAGAAGATCAGGTAACTCGGAGCTTCAGTCACATAAGAGCTGAAGTAGCGTCAGGTTGTACTGCGCAGGTCTTTTATTTCATATTGCCTATTAATTCTTTCTCCTCACAGTAAGTCAGACATGTCTCGTCTGAGGCTGTCCGCCGGTGGAGCCATCATGAAGTTGGCCCAGGAGCCCTGTTACCATGACATCATCACACCTGAACAGTTCCAGCTCTGCGGCCTCGTTATCAACGTCAGTCCCAACATTACTTTCCATAACAGAACAGATTTGAACATGTGACAGTAGGAGGGGAGGTGTAAATGATCAAGTTGAAGACTAATGTGTTCAATGTCTCACTGTCAGAAGCAGCTATGATTAGGGTTGCAAAGGGGCGGAAAGTTTCCGGTAATTTATTTCCGGTATCTGTTTGTTTTAGTCAAGATTATGCTAAAATATACTTTCCCCAACTATATTTAAGTTCCCTATGAAGAGCCAACCTTCAATTTAGAAAATTCCCAGTTTATTCCCATAAATTCCCGTGGGAAGTTTTCATCTTTCTTTCCATCAGTTTCCCGGAATTTTGCAACCCTAGCTATGATTATAAAGTAGTAGATAACTAGTCAAAGTGTCTGTGTATATTGCAATATGCCTTTTCACAATGTACCGTATGTGAACACAATAAACTACTTTCATATAAGTAGAATAGGTCACAATGAACTATATGAATGAAAGTAGAACGTATTTAGAGCTGCAACTTAACGAAATGTGTGTGCAAATATTTTGATAACCAATTAAACCTTAAAATGATTTTTCATGAAGGAATTTTAGCATCTTCCTTATGGGGGTTCTCCTTTCTCTGTTGTTTATTAACCAATTATCTTTAGATTTACAATATGTATCACCAACTGAAAGATTGTAGGATTAATGAAGATTGAAAATGATGTTTTTTGGATCCCTATTTACCAGTAGTGATAATCTCCTTTAATGTGATTGAGTTGTTTATTTTAAGTCTATTCTCTCTCACGTACAGGACGAGTGCTACCAGGTGCGTCAGATCTTCGCCCAGAAGTTGCACCTGTCTCTGGTCAAACTGACTCTGCCTCTGGAGTACCTGGCAGTGTTCGCCCTGTGTGCCAAGGACCCGGTGAAGGAGCGCCGCGCCCACGCCCGACAGTGCCTCCTCAAAAACATCTCCGTCCGCCGAGAGTATATGAAACAAAACCCACTCGCTCAGGGTCAGTTGTTCCACCTAAGGATGTTTTACAAAACAAAGTGAACTGCATGCATTTATGAGAAGAATTACTGCCTTCTCATGGCTGCACATATGTTGGATTTCTGTCGTCTGCTGCTTTTCCTGGAGCAAAAGTATTTCATTTGTCGGTACACCATCTTCTCCATGTCATGCATTTCTTCACTGTGTAGTAGGGCTGCTCGATTATGGCAAAAATCAGAATCTCGATTATTTGGGTCAATAATTGATATCAACGATTATCCATTTACTTACACACACACACACACACACACACACACACACACACACACACACACACACACGTTATGTTGATTACCCTGAACTTTAAGTATAATTCAACTGAAAAACTAATTAAAAAAAAAAATCGTTTTATTTCGATTATGTTTTCATAATAGTTGCACGCCAAAATAGTAATTGCGATTAAAATACAATTAATAGTGATGGTGATACTACCAATATTGTGTAAATTGACTTTCATCATTATAGCAATTTTCTTCTCGTCTTTTTTCACTCAAAGCACTTTTTGTAAAAGTTGCAATTAAAGAAAAAAAAAAAAAAATAGTCCAAAACGAATTTAATATAAATGAATGTGTTATTCTCTCTTCCACAGAAAAACTTGCCTCCCTTCTTCCTGAGTTTGTCGTCCCCTATATGATCCACCTGCTGGCACACGACCCAGACTTCACAAAACCTCAGGAATATGAACAGCTCAAAGATATCAAGGAGTGAGTGTTGACACATTTCTTTTAGATTTTATTGACTAAATCTGATCATACAGCTGAGAATGTTTATTTTTTTTAATCTTTATTTTACAAATAATATAAAAGTGTATACTCTTGACTTACAACGCTCAAGAGACCCAGGTTTTGAGGAGTGAACCTGAGCCCATTGATGTTCATTGTGCTGATGTGCCTAGGTGCCTGTGGTTCATGCTGGAAGTGCTGATGACCAAGAATGAGAACAACAGTCATGCTTTCCTAAGGAAGATGGTAGAGAACATCAAGCAGACGAAGGACGCACAGTGTCCTGAAGACGCAAAGGCCAATGAGGTACAAACAACCTTTTCTTACTGTGTGTTCTGGAGACAGGGACCCATCTTAGATTAAAGTTCCTTCAGCACTTTTAAACGAGCAACCCTCTTCAGTCTGGGTCCTGAAGGCTGACATCTCTCCAGAGTGCTGTTCACCATGTTTTCATTGACCTGAAACAAACCCAAGTGTCGTGCTTAAGGACAACAAACCTGACTTTTGTTGATGCTTGACGGAGTTTACTGTGTGTTTCTCAAAGCTCTGTTATGGTTCCAATGATGATTAACATTTGAAACGATAATTCTTACAGACGGTCATTTCACCATGGGTTAATTTGAAAATTGTTACTTTTCATCCCAACTAAGAACTCTTTGGGGCAAGTCACCTAATTACAATCCTAACAGTGTGTCTCATGATGTCTTGGTTACAGAAGATGTATATTGTCTGTGACGTCGCTCTCTTCGTCATCGCCAACAAGAGCACTGCATGTCACCTGGACTCTCCGAAAGACCCCGTCCTACCCTCCAACTTCTTCATCGTGCAGGACAAGGCAATAAACACACACACACACACACACACACACACACACACACACACACACACAGATTTGGATTTATGCTTCTAGGATTGAATTCATGTAATACATAACCTTTTTCTTTCCTCTTGAAGATGAAACATTTCAAAGTCTTCTTAAAAATGACTTGCATCCACTGCATGGTGGATGGATATGGGCACATTTCAAGATATAAGCCACACCCATGACCTCTGTGGTTTACCGGTTTATGCTAATCAAAGTTTTCTGCCGTGATTTCTTTCAACAGGAGTTCAAAAATGAAATGGAGTATTTGTCGACAGAGATGAGACAAATGCTGCTCTCTGGAAAGGTAAACGACGAACATTCCTATTTACTGAGCCACATCTCTGTTATGTGTATACTTTCATTTAAACATTTAAACATTGCTTTTGAATTTATTGTTGAGTAAGAGAAAAATATTTGCTTTAGTTTAGAGACATCTATATATAATTATTAGTATTATCAGTATGAGTATAACTCTTTGGTCATCATGCCTGATCGAATGAGTTAAAAGCTTTAGGGCCTTGATAAAAAATCAAATGCTTATCAGTATAATACTAACGGCACCCTTAATCTCCTCCGTTCTTCACGCAGCCTAAAGTAGCTCCAGTGTTGGGAGCTGCGAACAAACCTCTGACGGTACCGGGGAGGAGGATCTTCAACAAGACCACCACCACCACCACCACCGCCGCCGCCGCTGCCGCCGCAGCAACAGCAGCAGCAGCAGCAGCAGCAGCAGCAGCTGCCCTAGACACAGCCAGCAACACCAGCACCAACTCCTCCCCACTGAACGCCTCCACCATCAAGAACAGGTAAACGCACGCACACACGCACGCCACACACACACCATTTCAAAGTAATGTTGGCTTTAACAATATTCAAACATGTCTTGTAGTAACAACAATGCTGCCACCGAGTCATCAGAGAGCCCAGCGCAGGAAAACAACGAGAACCCAGTCATCAAGAACAGCGAGGGGAAGAAGGTGAGCTTGAAAAAAACATATTTCCTCTTAACTTAAGGGCTTTTTATCCAGAAAGATAGTTTTGGTGTGAGTTGGCGAGATGCCTGCCTTATCTATAATACAAGCTCAAATACTCTGCTTGTGGCGTGAGATGTAAACATAATGCTTTCCTCCTCGGCTGAGCTGTATTTGAGCTAGCTCACTGGGTAAAATGCACGCGAGCTGTTGTGTTACGGTTGACGAGTGTGGTTGGTTAAAGAGAATGGTTCCTACCTTAACTCCTCACAGCCAGTCTGTGGATTATCTTTAGTGCAGATTTCTGTTCAGAAACAGAGTGCCATTTCATTCCATTATAGTCGAGACAAGGCACGCATCTCTACAGATTCCTCCAACACTCGGCAACTAATACAAACATGTCGATTGATAAATATAGCACTACAGGTATGACGGAAACATTTTTTTTTGAGTAACTGTCCCTTTTTAAAAAGGGTTATCTTGACTTTACTATCCTCATTGTATCTCTCAGAATGAGGCAAGTCAGAATGCGACTCCTGACGCAGAGACGGAAGCATCGACCGTCAAACGACGCGGCCGCCCTCCTAAAACTGCTGCTGCTGCCGCCGCCGCGGTGGTGATGGTTGTTGAGAAAGAGGCTCCAGTGACACCGACAGGAGGAGCTGGCAGAGGCAGGAAGAGAGCAGCTGACCCCAAATCCAACCCCTCAGCAGACTCCATCAACATCAAGATGTCAAAACAGCAGCAGCAGAATGAAGAAGGGACAAAGAGACAGATCGACTTGCAGAGGTGAGAGTGGAGGAAAGAGACAAAGTTAAAAGGCTTGACAGTGGTGCTGTTCAGTTTGAATTCCTGTTTCACTGATGGCTTATTATCCTGTCGTAAGATTGAACAGAAGTCAGATCATCCTTCAGTTGCCAACTTTCTCCTCTTCAGGTGGCTGTTTGTGAGCAGAGATAATGAAAAAGTGAGAAAGTGGGAGTCAGGAGAGGAGACAGGGAGAGCTGTAGGGTTAGTCGCCCCCTTCCTGGGCAGTGAGGGCGACGCTGAGATAGAGATGGAGTCCAGCCCAGAGATCAGGAAGGAGAGAGAAAGACACCCCCCCACAAAAGAGCAGAACAGCCAGGCAGATGGGTCCGACCTGTACAACCAGGGAGAAACCAAGTCTTCAAGGAGGGGGGTTCCTTCTGGCAGGCCGGGAGAGCCCAAAAGTGGGCTGGCAGTGAGTTGGTTTAGCTCAGGAGGTTTATAAACACAGTTAATGTCTGAAGGCACCAAATATTCAGGTATTTCTACCAAGCAGGTAACATGGCTATTTTAAATAAATAGTGACGTTTGCAAAAATGGTTTCTGTATGTTAATCTATTTGTTTAAAGAGCTACTGTCGAGGAAAAGTTGTATTCTTGAAGCAACCAGCCACAGATGAATACATCGATGTTACGGTGCTGAAACCTTTTGCTGTGTTTCAGGTAAAGAGGAAACCACTGAAGGGGAAATCAAGACTGTAGTGAACAGGCCGGACTCTGCCTCGTTCCTCGGCTGCGTGTACGCTCCTCTGACTCTAAAGCTGTCCTGGACTCATTATGGACCTTTCTTAAACACACACATGTACACACGCAGACACAAATCTCTGACATCTTAGACGGTTTTAAATACCTTATAGTCATGAAGCTCATCGTATGTAGGTCTTACTCAAAAAACATGTTATTTTCCCCCCTGTTTGTTGCTCTTTGCTTCTTTTGTGGAGCCGTTTTAAAGAAAAAAACAGGATGGACATTTTACAAACGTTTTAATCTGGTTGATTGTTGCTTATTAAATTCCCTGGAAAAAATCCTAATGTCTGTGTATGTCTCCTGACCTCTTCCTCCTCGAGTCTGTTGCACAATAGTTTTTTGTTGTTTATTTTGAGCTCACTAGTGTTACTTGCAGTTGTATTTTGTAAATACCCATGTTCAACTTTGCAGTTGAACCTTTTGAATATCCAAAGCGGTTACTATGGCTGGAATCCGGGATCATCATAGCATAAGATTTGTGCATTTAGCAGCTGTCCCAACACCAACATTTTATAAACTTTAGTATGTTTAGACTTCTAACAAGTATGTTGAGGTGCTTTAGCTTGACCATAGCACCTCGAAGTCCAGGAGAAACTTGGGCCTATTAACCGCCACCTGTAATGCTTTTAAAAGCCTTTTGGTTATTTCTAGTGTTCGACACATTTAAGCGGTCAAACATTTCTGGATACTTTGCTTCAAGCTCAGTTTGGCGCCTCCTCCCCTCTGAAATCGAGCTGGGTATGAATTACAGTTTGGTTTTGTACTGCTGAAGTATGATTTAGTACTTCACTTTTGAATGCATAAATGATATATTACTATACTATGTGTTCAGGTTTATTCTTTTACAATTAAATCTTTTTTTGTACTTCAGATGTTCAGCTGGGTAAAGCTTGCTTTTAAGTAACTGGGTGATTTGAAACCTTGCAGGATGCTTTGATGAATTATTTTGACTGTAGTTAAAGTATGCCTATTCTCATGATCATATTTAATTTTTTTCCAGAAAAATAAATGCTCTTAGATGTTACCATGCAGTACATTTGTCTTGATCAGTGTTTATGGAGTGCATTTTCCAAAAAGATGACAAAATAATTGATTTTCCACTTTTTTTTAATCAAAGAAACATGACACTGTCACAATAAATAACCATGCTTTTTATACTGCTGATGCTCACTTTCAAGGACACGAGGAAAATAAGTCTCAATCCAAATGGAGAAACTGAGATGCAAACAGCCCCTTATCTAATGCTTCATCATCGTGCAATATAGTACATAGTGAGAAAAACCAGGGAAGGGGCTTCATTCCTGTTTTTTGTCCTTCCTTTTTTCTTACAAAATATAGATCCAGCCATCAATGGTGCACTCGTGACACTGGGCTATTTACAATGAACAGAAATGGTGCGCTCCTCTACCTCTGAACCGTGTTTCTTCTGGCTCTGGCGGGGAATTCACTGTGGAGATAGAGCACGACAACTCCATTTAGTACTGTAATATGCCACTGCGTTGGTAGAGCAAAAGATATTTCCTATTTGAAAGAAGCCATGTGAGGATTCATTGACACCCCATTCCTCTTTATGCTGAGCATTTCTTCATAGAAATGTCTGAAAACACTGCAGGCCTGCCATGTGCTTCAGAGGAGTGCCAGCCTATTGTATTACTCATAACACAACTTCCATGAAGATTGTATTTAGCTGAGTAGCAAAGCATGTCTGGTGGCTTCTCCTATATATGGCCAAAGGATTGGATCGAGTCCTGCGGGATGGGATCAGTGACGAGCGATAAACCCCCCCACTAAATGTTCTACATCAGCAGGACTGAGGGTAAGCAGGTCCTTGATACGTGGCTGAAAATGATTGCTCTGAAATTAACAAAACACAGCATTGCAAACTCAAAACAATTGATGAAATTCAGAATCGCTGGTGCCGTGCGAATCTGTTCAGAAGATTTTCCACCAACGCTCAACAGAAAGACTGGTTCTCTACGGATATCACTGGGAGAGCTTCCAGCTGTCTCTCTTCAGATTACAAAGTTATGTTGAAATGAACAGACACTCCCCATCACCACATCGTTTGGCCAAATAAAATAAAAGGCAGCAGAGAGCATGCAAAGACAAGAAAAGATGGCTTGTCATGACCTCCAGGGGCCGGCTCTCAGCTCCTGTCCCACTAGGACCAGGATGTTGTGTCTTCCCTAAACAACAATCTTAGTAAAAAGAAACGGGCCATTCAGAGAGCTTTCTCGTAAATCACAAAGCATATAAAGATATCTCCGTATAGTTGTAAACTAGGCATAGTTTATATTTAAAATAATTTGTTCTACAATGCCATGTAAGAAAAGAAAAAGTATATCCCATTGTATTTTCAAATGTACACGCATCTATTTACAGATAACTTCTGTGCAGATGTTTGTGTGATCTTACCTACATCTACAGATCGGAAAAAAAAAACTGCAGGTAATTAAAGCATCCGAGAAACTGCTCAGGAAAAATCCATTCTATTGCTCTTTGCAGAACACTATCCAGTCAATTTAATAAAGCAAGACCAGGACCAACCATTTGCTGGAGAGCGAAAGGTGACGTACTCTGAGAGCAGTATGCAGGACTTCCTTGACATTGTTTAAAATCCTCCAGCAATGGCAGTTATTTGATTGTTTGCAATATTCAGGTACAAAGATATGTGGGAAAGAACGTTTCAGATCCGATGTAAATAATGGGCATGGAATACAAGATGCATGATCGAAGGTGTTTGGTGGTCTATTACAAGTAAACATGTTGAGTTAGGGGAAGAGTAGACGGTAATGAACAGGTGATTGTGGTGTTGAGTTCGTAGCAAACCGACTTGTTATAAAGAAGGCTCAGACTGCTGTGCTGAATGGGGTGGGGGGGTTGTATGTGTAACACAAGGCAATGGTGGAATGGATGCTGGGGCGGGGGGGCTGATGTTATGACAATGGGAGTTGGGGATCCTCACACCTGGCTACGTTTTAGTTGTTAAGGAGCAGCTCTGTCGCCGTTTCCACATCCCAGGATTTTGAAGACAAGGCTGCTACTACTGCATTCTGTTTGCAAGAGAGAAAAGTACAAAAAATATTGATTTTAAAGTACGCTTTAATGAGCATGAAATGTCAACCCGTAAAACGGCTTTATATGTTTTAGAAAACAACAAATGAGCTACTTTTATATTAATTATCTTTTAATAAAATTGGGACTTGTTAAGAGTAAATGTTTTGACATGTTCTACAGTGAGACTACTTTGCTTGCTCTGCTGCCAAATAACTATTTCTTTTTTTTTTATAAAATGGTGATTAATATACTGTGTAGTTTTTATATATGTAGTCTGTGAAATGTCAGAATACAGTAAAATAAAAATACCAAGCATAGGTTTTCCCAGAGCCTAAAGCGATATACTCAAATGTCTTGTTTCCTTCGACTAACATTCCTACACTTAAAGAGATACTTGGAAAACCCATAACTTTCCTGGCCCACACCATACTTTGTTCTATACATTTGTTTAATGTGTACAATAAAACAGAAAGTGGTTCTGACCTTTTCAAAGCCCATGGAACAGAGTTTATCTATTTTGCGGTTGTAGTCTGGAGTGGAGACAGGCGCGCCTGCAAAGACGTGAGACCACTGTCTCGCTGTCTGTTTATACATTTCTGCATTCTGCTTGTACTGAGGATAAAAGACAAAGAGCTCAATAAGAATTGTTTTTTATATGCAATTTGCTAAAGCTATGTTTATGGAAATCAGGCGTGTGTGTACAAAAATCGTTCTCACCTGGTTTGCTACAACTGCATCCTGGGGATCATCTGGTTCTGCGGCAGCAAGGAGAGCCTGTAGAGACAACAGCACCGTCCTCAGGGTCATAGCTGCTGCCCTGGGGGGGACAGAAGTCAAGTTGGAGCAGGTGAATGAGGATGTTTGAGATGTAGGAGACACGCAGGAATTGAATCCATGTGCAGAAGGTGAGGCTCAGATACATCTCACTCACCACTGGTCTTTTAAAATGTCCAGACAAATTGCTCCCGTCACAGAACTGATGTTAGGGTGCCAGATCTTAGTGATGAAACGCACCTGAGGAAAACAGATACAATGAGTTTTTAATATGCACATACGTTTCAAGTTCTGATCATGTTTGGTAAGATTTTGACCTTTCGTCTTTACTGTGGTAGCCATAAGCTAAACCTATTTCTGTGGATCAAATCAGGTTTTATTTATATAGCACAATATAAAAACGATTTTTGGTCGAGCCTAAGTGCTGTACATGCAAATAAAAAACACATTACTACAATAGCAAACAGAAGACAATAAAGTACAACAGCAAATATAAAGATCACACACAGGGAAATGTCAGGAGTCGTGCTCCGCTCTGACTAGAAGGCCAGGGAGAAGAAGTGAGTCTTTAGTGTTGATTTAAAAAACCCTAGGGTCTGGGCCGACCTATGGAGGGGCAGGGTGTTCCAGAGCCTAGGGCCAGCTGCTGCGAAGGCTCAATGACCTCGGGTTTTGAGCCTGGTCTTGGGCACTACCAGCAGCAGCTGATAGTGCCCAATCAGCCGACCTTAAAGCTCTGGCTGGGGTGTAGCGATGGATGACTTCTGCTATATAAGCCGGAGCCAGCCCATTTAGTGCATACATATAAGCATAATTATACTGTGCTTTCTTTACACCGTAGCAATATTAATCTTTTATAATTTTATATATTTAATATACACATAATCTGTTAAAGTTCAATACTTACCAAAATACCTTTCATTTGATTTTGCACACCTCACAGTCTTTCAACTCCACTCTTACTATTGTTATGATCACTGTAATTGCTCTACTTGTTTTTTATCTTATAACTTTACAAAAAGAGGCTGTATATGACATATACACATTAAATAAGATTTACTAAAGTCTAGTATTCAATCTTATCTCGTGTAAACTATGCGTCAGAAAGTTCGGGATCTCGATTGCTCTTCCTCGTTCTTAGCCATACGTCATATCCTTTATATACATGTAGTCCTATCGTCTACCAATAAATATAAACTTGATTAATGTTAATTGAACCGTTGTAATGTAATCGACCTTCATCATGGATACTGAGTTCAGATATAAATGACAGAAAGTAATTGTAAAACAAGTCTGTCAAATAGGATTAAGTAGACGACTATAGGAGTTTAAGGGGACCGTTCCGAAAAATTACATATATATATATATATACATATGATAATATACATATATATATACATATATCATATGACAATATATATATGATTACTATAACTATATATATTATATTATACTATATATATATATATATACATATATATATAATATATATATATATATACTAACATATATATATATCACACATTATATATATCATATATACATATTATATATATACACATATATATATTATATACATATAGATATATTATATATTATCCCATTACATACATATATATATATATATATAATATAGATATATATATATATATATGACTATACATACTACATATATGATCATATATACATATAGATTATATATATGATATANAATGGCGTTAGCAACTAGAAAATGACACCAGTAATGACAAACAGATGAGAATGCTGCGTGGGGTCTGGGTGCCGTGTGACCGACATTGCGTGGCTCGCTGCTGTGAGGAGCGGACAGTGTGAGCTGGGTTCATTTCCTGGTTGCTGCGTGGGATCTGCGAGACAGCGAGACATCGCAAATGGACAAGGCTCCACTACCAACGGCATTAAACATGAACTGTAACAAAATCAACATGCAATATCGTTGACGAGAAGTGACGAGACGAAAATGTAGTTTACTAAATAAAAACTATGCCAAAATCTCTCTTTACTTTAGTTGACGAAAAATTAGGAGACGAAATATTATCAAAGATAACGTTACATCTCTGATTGTAAGTTTTTCTCTCAGCAGTTCCATTTCCGGTGCTGCCCGGGCAGGGCAGCAGCTGTGTGTCTGTGCTGCGTGCGGCGGTGCATTTGAATTACACCGGGCAGCAGCACAGTATGAACTGTCAGGAAGAGTCGGGTCTAACTCATGGTCTAACCTTATTTAAGAGAAAATAAAATGGCAACAACAGGGCTTGGGAGCAGTGGTCGCGTTAACCGACCGAGTGACGAGTTGTGTACAGACTCGACGGGTAATAATGGATTATGACGGAGATTTTACGATCCTGTCCGTCAAAATGGCTGACAACGAAAAAGTCTAACACCACCACTGCTTGGGAGCAAGAAACGAGGTGATATTTGGGCCCATGTTCGCTACAATGAGGCGGAGAAAAAAAACAATGTGGCCATAACACAGTTCTGGTAAAAACACCACAAACCTGACCAGGTACTCTCTGCAAAGCTGCATTCTTAATCATTCAACCTGTGTTTTTCATCAAATAAGGACAAGATATAATCCTATTGTGAAATAAATTTGACTAAAATGACAAATTATTGGTTTTGGCTGGACTAGTTTGACTGAAATGTTCTATATAATCTGATGACTAAAAAAGACTCAACAGTTTTTATTGACAAAAAGTAGACTAAAATAATCAGAATTTTAGTCGACTAAATCTTGACTCAAGATTTAGTCGACTAAAATTCTGATTATTTTAGTCTACTTTTTGTCAATAAAAACTGTTGAGTCTTTTTTAGTCATCAGATTATATAGAACATTTCNACACAATGAGACAATCAGACATACCAGGGAAACTAACAACAGGGAGGAGGATCAGACAAAACACAAGGAGGAAGACAAAACACCGAATGAACAGACGTACAAAACCCATAATCAGACAGACAACACTAAAACCGTGACATAAACCTAGGAGTGTGACATTGGTGTTATCAAATTTAAAACATATCATTAATAAATGGGTGAAAATTGCTTGTGTCCATAGTCCATAATGGGAAGCATTAATATACAGTACACCCACATGACAGCTAAGGTCATAATAGCTTTATTTAATAGCCGGTCTTATGTATGTGATCCCTCCTGTTGTTAATTGATAAGCCTCAAACATGTACTTGTCAAGGTTCAGAGGCACATTTTGCAAATATGGCAACAGCCATCGACCATCTTAAGATAATTTAGTCACCTTCATCCTGTTTTTATTTAGTCAAGTTTTAGTCGACTAAAAGTCTGAGCATTGTAGTCATATTTTAGTCAAAGAAAACAGGAACTATTGTAGTCAAGATTTTAGTCGACTAAAATTCTGAGAATTTTTAGTCTTATTTTNATTGTCTCATTGTGTTAACCTGTTGCCCTTGTGTTTCTCCCTCCCCTGCCCAGCTGTGTCTTGTACTGTGATTACCCTTCTGTGTATTTAGTCTAGTCTTCCCCTGTGTTCCATGTCGGTTCATTGTTTCCCCGGTCTGTGTTCCTTGTGCTGCTCGTTTGTTTTTGGATACTGCCTTTTTGCCACAGCTTTTATGATTTAATAAAGCTCGCTTTTTGTTAAATTCTGCATTTGGGTCCTACCTTTTCCACGCATCATGACAACCAATGTGTTTCGTATCCCCTAAACCTCTAGGGATGTAGACAGTTTAATACTGGCAACTTCTAATTATGGGAAATATGAAAAAACGTCTTTTAATACTACAATTCCCAGTAGAGACATGCCATAGAACATGTTGCGAAACACAATTAGCCAGCATGTGTAGTTCTGGGGGGTTGGGCTGGACCCGTTCGAGTCCAGTTTTGGATAGTCTGCCGTGGTTTCATTCCATTTCAAAGAGCTGTTTGACGCTCGGCATAACCTTGGCGCACTGCCACTCCAACATCCAAATCACAGAGCTTGAGGTCTAATCACAGGGTTTGTCAAGCAAAGCGGATGTTGTAGTCCCAAACGATAGCTGAGGATTATGGGTAGTGTCTTCGGCCGTCCTAAACTCCGAAAAAACTATTTGTTTCTCCGAATCGAAGGGGGAAAACACCAAAGCGTTGTACACCATTTAAACCAATCAATGTTGTGTAATTAACAAGGATAAACTTTTTTTTTTTAGTGTATGAGTATGGCAGATGTCACTGTAAAATAATTTGACAGTGAGGGGAATACTTCCGGTTTTATTATGAAAACTTCGTGACCGGAAATACTGGAGCTGGATTCTAAAAGTACTATATACACTTCTCGCTAGAAATCTAATCAAAAAGCATTTTAATGGCCAAACTATTCTACAATTTAGGATTTTCCGGAGTGGGTTATTTGTGAATATACGACCCTCCGGAGCGTTCGCAATCAACGGGAGCATCAGCCTTGAACCTTGAACTCTAAAACTGTGTTTTACCAACGGTGTTTCTACACGGACCACTATTGCGGTAAGCATGTTGTAACTTCCGGTTGTTGTTGTTGTCATCTCCGAGTATCCCGTGTGCCTGTTCTGCCGCTGATAGCTTATTAAACTTAATCGATCATTTTAAAACTCTTGATCACGGCAACTGCCTGACGTTGTAATCACACGTTACTACAGCTTAAGCACTCACAACTCTTCTCTTAGCGATTGTAACTCCACAGTTGCCTACACTCTTTTCGGGTTTGCTAACGGTAGCTACTTTAGCTTGATAGCTAGCCATGGCTCTTTCCCCACCCTATTTCCTGCTCTAACTGTCTCATGTTTGGTTACTTCCCTACCTCCTTTACTGGTACCGATACATGTGTTAAATGTAGTATAGTTGTTAGGTTGGAGGCGGGAATCATAGCCATAGAAGCCCGGCTCCGCATCTTAGAAAGTAACTCAGCTACAGTAAAGCCCATGTTAGCCGGTGCGGACCAGCAAAAGGTAGCTCCTCTTAGCCGTCCCCCGGCAACTCCCGAGCATCAGGGAGATTGGGTGACTGTTCAGAAGGGGCATAACTTGAAACCCGCAGGTCCCCACCAACCCGTTCACGTATCTAACAGATATTCCCCACTCAGCGAGACACCCGCTGAGAAGCCAACTCTGGTTATTGGTAGCTCTATGAGACACGTGAATTTAGAGACCGAAGCCTCCACAGTCACATGCATTCCGGGAGCCAGAGCGGGCGACGTTGAGGCGCATCTTAAACTGCTGGCTAAAAATAAACGTAA